TATCAATCTTCAAATATAGAATTTCACATATAAGAACTTTTTTTGTTGATAATATATTGTAGATTACTTTTTTAATGGCATGATTGTTGCTTTTTTTTTTGATACAGAAAGTTGTTACAAGAAAAGTCTAACAGATAGATATAATCTGATAAATACAAGAAAAGTCTAACAGATAGATATAATCTGATAAATATTAAAATTTATGTAAACTAGAAGTATATTTAAAATATATAAAAATTTATTTTGAAATGTTTTAAAAATATTTTAAGCAGTAAAGTTAGTAATATTTGTAAAAAGAAAAAAAAAGAGGCTCAAACTAATATCAGGTCAAACTACATTTACAATGTGTTTTTTGTCTGAAAAAAAAATTTATTATTAAAAAAACCAGACCAGAAATAAAAACAGTAATCCATACAAGGACAAACAAGACATTGAACCAACCTGTTTCTCTGGAATGACATAAATCAATGATAACTTTGTTCATTTCATTTAAAAGATGAATTTAAGAAAAAGTTATTGCAAAAAGTTTTTCTTACAATTTGAGAACAAAATCAGATCCATGTATCAAAATGATGTATGAGAATATGAATACAAAATACATTAAATACAAATGTTATAGAATGTTTAAAAATTTATAAAATATTAAATGTAAAAAACAATACATTTTTTAAAACAGGTGTTATTTGATTAACATGTAAAAATATTTTGTCTTTGTTACAATATTAGGGCACACAAATTTTCTGCTAGTAAATCGCAACTAATAATAATATTAAATAAATCTCAAGTCTTTGCACATTTGAATTAGAAGTCAATGCCATACTTAAACTTAAAGTCAGACTTTTAAAGCGACGGCTTTTACACTTTTATTTTTTACGAAATGAGTGAATATGTTGATTTATAATTTTTTTAACAATGTTCAGACCTTCACTATTCACTAATCATAAAAAAACTCCATAAAATAAATATTAATTTGAAATTGTAATTATCTTCACAAAAATTATGAATTAATTTACAGAAAAAAAAAAAACAAAGATATTTTTACTGATTATACTGATAAATCATACTTGCACAGAATTTATAAAAAATCACAAATCTATAGAATATATAGAACTTATATACAATACAATATTATATATATATATATATATATATATATATATATATATATATATATATATATATATATATATATATATATATATAAATATATATATATATATATATATATATATATATATATATATATATATATATATATATATATATATATATATTTCAACCCTTGAAATTAGGAAAAATTAGGTCTAATAATTTGAGGTCGGCAATTTTTTGCCAACCTCAAACTATTAGAGGTTGGCAAAAAAAAATTTGACACAAAGAGGTTATCATAAAACATAGAAATGAGGTTGGCCATTTTTTGCTGACCTCAAACACTTTTAGGTCGGCATTGCTGAATGCTGACCCTAATTCCAAGGGCTGATATAAATATATACATAAATATATATAGTATATATATATATATATATATATATATATATATATATATATATATATATATATATATATATATATATATATATTAGGGTGGTCCATAAAACAACTTTTTTGAGAAAAACCTGCTGACACCCCCTAAATGTGTTTTATCTAATGCAAAAACACTAGGTTTAAAATTTTTTTGAACAAAAATTATTTTTAGGGGTAGCTCAAGGCCCTCAAAAATTTGACGGGTCCCTAATATTTTGAAAAAAAAACTTTTTCTAAAGTATGTCAACCTGGTACTCAAAATAAGCAAAATTATATAAAAAATTTAAAAATGATAATAATTTTTTATAAAAATAATTTTTTTAGGTACTATTGTTTTTAAGCTGAAAATAAAAAAAGTCAATATTTTCAGGTTTTTTGAGAATAATTTTTTTTAGGCATGTTTTTTATGTAAAATGATTATTATTTTTGAAGTTTTTATACAATATCGCTTCTTTTGAGTACCAGGTTGACATACTTTAGAAAAAGTTTTTTTTTCAAAATATTAGGGACCCGTCAAATTTTTGAGGGCCTTGAGCTACCCCTAAAAATAATTTTTGTTCAAAAAAATTTTAAACCTAGTGTTTTTGCATTAGATAAAACACATTTAGGGGGTGTCAGCAGGTTTTTCTCAAAAAAGTTGTTTTATGGACCACCCTAATATATATATATATATATATATATATATATATATATATATATATATATATATATATATATATATATATATATATATATACCTTAATCTTTTAGAGGTTGGCATCAGGTCGGCAAATACAAAGGTCTTACTATAAAACATCGAAACGAGGTCGGCAAAATCAATTTTTTTTTGCCAACCGCAAACACGTTTAGGTCGGCAGTTAGATCGGCATTACCGAATGCTGACCCTAATTCCGAGGGTTGATATATATATATATATATATATATATATATATATATATATATATATATATATATATATATATATATATATATAATATATATATATATATATATATATTTGTAGAATAGGTAACAAATAGAGTAATAAATACACAAGAAAAAGATTTTCATGAGTTTTTATTAACAAAACAAAATGTGTAAAATAAAAAAATTGATTAATAATTTTCTAATAATTTATTGTTCTACTCGTTTAAGAACGTCAAACACATGTTCTGAAAAGAGTTGAACAATAAACTAGTAAAAAATGACACACAAACACACACACACACTCACACACAAAACTTCACCATAAAACTTGATATTCTAAAATTCTAAAGTCTAAATTGAGAACAATAATACTAACCTACAACAGCCAAGTTATTTCCAAGAAAAGGACCTCTTCGAGTACATCCATTTAACAGACTTGAAAAAATAAGAGTAACCTCAATTATTTTATTAGATCGCTTTTATCATTTTATTACTACTTTTATTATTTTATTATATTTCTATCATTCTATTAATTAGATTCTGATAAAATTGAAATATTTTGACGTTTATTGAAAACTTATCATGTTTACAAAAACATAATTCTTAAGAAATATTTCCTTTCTTTAAATACATATTGAGAACTTAAAGCACATAAGTGCTATCTCCGCCTATTTTAAAAATCTAGATATTGGCATCTATGAATTTGTCATGAAAATCAGAACATTTAAATTAAAACAGTTTACTGTCATTATACTTGGTAAAATAAAAATATTTTTAGTTTAAAATTTATTCACATATTTTACAGTTCTCCAAATTGACTGCCAGGTTGAAACTCTCCCCACTCCAGATTTTTTTAATTAATCAAATGCATAAGTAAACAAAATTTAAGTTGTCAGAAAATTCTGAACTAAGTCCTAAGTATGCATACTTTTGAAATTAAAACTTTTAATTTTTTGCTTTTTTTTTCTCTCAAGTTTTATTAAAGTCAGCCATCATGGTAGTCAAAATAGGCTATTTATGGCTGCTTTCCAGATATAACTAACACTTCCAACATGGTTTTGGATTTCAAATTATGTACTTGTGCAGTTTGCACATAATTTGAATTACTCTGATTTAATGAATCACTTTTTGCGATTTTAGATAAATAGAAATATTATTAAGAAAATCTCTTCACTACTACATATCCAGAGACATGTTGAGTTAGAATTTAATTTTTTAAATGTGAATGAGAAAATCTGTGGGTTCTTGTTTGAATCTTGGTATATTAATACTATTTTATAATTTAAATAAGATTAATTGAAGTTTGATTCTCTTTATGTTACATTACAGTTTGATTCAATTTATTATAGTTTTTTATGTAATTCCAAGTTACTATTAAAATAGTTTTAAATTTCTTCCTCCACCTGAGCTCCACCTTATGATGGTAGTTGTGTAAAAACAATGTACTATGCTTTTACATATTTGCCCAGCTTTTCATTCCTGGTTGAAAACATTACATACTAATTAGAGGGTACCATGGATTGCTAATTGATTTATGTTCTTGTTAGATATTTTGAAAAGGGATGTTACTTGCAATGCTTGATAGTTTAGCAATAATTTAGTAAGTTTTTATTAGTAAAAGCAACAGTGTTCGGTTTAGAAAAAGGTACAGATATTTCTGTTAAAATTGAAGACTTCAAGCGTTTAGTTTTTAGTCTCCAATTAGATGCAAACATTATTTTTGACTACAATTTGAATGTTTCCTTGAAAATAAATATTTTAGTGTCATATTCTTTCATTATTAAAACACAATAATATTAGCTTGGGAAACCATGCAGAACAATGTGGTGAAGATGTTTAACACAAATTTAAAAAAACTTGGGTGAACTAAAAAAGAACTATATGACACAAAAATTATGGAAAGCTGAAATCTGCTATAGTAAATTTTAATTTAAACAATCAGTAATGCGGTAGTGATGTAGTGGTAGAGGGCTTGCCTAATAAGCAAGAAGTTCTGAGTTCGATCTCCACCACATGCTTGGTAGTACAGTGCTCAACTTGCTTCTCTGCCCAGCGGCCTTGTTTTTTGAGGTTTGTGTTTTGGATTTTGTTGTGAGAGTTGCAACCACAGTTGAGAGTTGAGAGAGGGTTGCAACCACAAGCAGTAGCCTCCTTGACTGTAGTGATCTACTCGGCTTTGTGGGGATGAATAATTTAAAAAAAAAAAAATGATATTGATACATGTTGATGGTTTATTTTGACAACCATAATGGTTGACTTTAATAAATCTTGGGGGAAAAATAGCAAAAAATTATAAGTTTTAATTTTAAAAATATACATATTTAGCACTTAGTTCAGATTTTTCTGAAATTAAATTGTGTTTACTAATGCATATAATTGATTAAATTAAAATAAAAAAAAAAGGAGTGAATAGAGTTTCAACTTGGCAGTCAATTTGAAGAACTGTAATTTGTGCACTAATGTGCTAAGTCTAGACTTGAATTTTTTTTTTAAACCCTATTAAGAAATAATTCACTTCATTTATGATGTTGATATGATAAAATATTTATAGTATACACTGATGAAGTTATAAAAATAAACAAATAAAAAAAATAAATAAACAAATAAATAAATAAAAAAACATGATACCTGTTTATACTTTAATGATTACTTAAAAAATTGTTATGACTAAAATTTTACTTTTTAAATTTAAACGTTTGAGTTACCTTCTTTTTATTTATATATTTTATATATATATATATATATATATATATATATATTATTATTATTATTATTATTATTATGATATATAATTTTTATTCATTTTTAATAAAAACAAAAATTCATAGCATTAGTAATGAAAATATTTATTTATAATGACCTGTAATATTTAGGAACAATTAATAATAATATTATTATTTTTTAAATTCAATACTCTGGGTAAAAACTACTAAAGGCACATTCATTTCTATACAAAACTAAATAATAAAAAAAATATATGTAAAAGTACCAAGAAAAAGGAAACAAAAAATAAAAACAAAACACAAAAAACAAAAACCTGTTAAGACGAAGTTTGAAAGTCTTGCCTTCAGGATTTCTTAAACCTTCCATAACACCCCAAACACCGCCAGAAAATATTCCTGAAAAATGTTTTAACAGAAGTTAAATCATATTATATACATGAAGACCCCCATCAAAATTCAAAACTTTGTGATTATGTGGAGACCATTTAGTCCATTAATTTTTCAGCTCTTTAATTATATTATTTTTTTCTAGTAATTCCCAACTAAAAAAAAAAAGATAAAAAACAAAAAAAGATGGATAAAAAAACCTTAAAGCTATAAACAAGTAAAAATTATTAAACAATATATATATTGCACTAAAATTAAGTTAAACCTCAGCAATGGTTAAATAGGAGAAATTGTGTACATAGGCTTGTTTTAAGTGTACATCAATTATTTTATAGAATAGAGATATATTACATACACACACACGCACCCACACAGAATTTACTTAAACAGAATAAATTCTGGTTAGGTAAAAAAAAAAAAAATTATTCAAGTAAATGAAATACTTTCAACAGTAGAATTCCCTTATACTAAATACCAAAGAGAGAAGCGAAAGTCAATAAAAAAATATTTATGAAGAAAATATAAATGATGATGATGAGTATTCAGTAGTAAAAAGTAAAAGAAGCATTATTGTATCAATAGATCTAAGATTTGATTTATTTTTTTTTAACTATTTTCGTATCCAACAAGGCTGCAAGCAAACACTAATTAGTGTTGGAAGTTACTGGAAGAGAAAAAATGAAGATTGTAGAGCAAGATAACGATTGACAGACGACTTAAAAGATTGCAAATTATATGAATCAGGAAAGCAAGATGAAGGAAGTGAATTCCAAATTTATACTGATGTTCGAGGAAAAAACTAGACGAGTAAGAGTTTTTGGAGCACTTAGGAACAGTAACAGAAAAAGGATGAGACTTAATTGAATGATGAGTAACACGAGAATGAATTTTAGTAGATGGCACAAGAGACGCTAGCTCTTTAGAGCAGTGCCAATTATAGTATTTGTAGAAAAGAGAAAGAGAAGCAACATTACGACAATGTGACAGAGGTTGAAGGTTGGCTGCAAGAGCAGGTCCAACTATGCGTTTTTGCACCTTGTCTAAAAGAGAAAGGGCATCATTAGAAGATCCGCCCCAGATATGGCAACAGTATTCCATACAAGGCCGGATTTGAGATTTATAGAGACAGAGAATAGAATCCAGAGTAAGAAAGTGTCAAGCTCGATAAAAAGGAACAACTTTAGCAGATGCTAATTTTGCAACGGATTTGATAAATGGTTTGCACCTTGTCTAAAAGAGAAAGGGCATCATTAGAAGATCCGCCCCAGATATGGCAACAGTATTCCATACAAGGCCGGATTTGAGATTTATAGAGACAGAGAATAGAATCCAGAGTAAGAAAGTGTCAAGCTCGATAAAAAGGAACAACTTTAGCAGATGCTAATTTTGCAACGGATTTGATAAATGGTTTCCAAGAAAGATCAGAAGTAAGAGTTAATCCTAGAAGATAAAGGGTAGGAGACTCATCGAGTACATTACCGTTCATAAAAATAGAAAGGTCTAAATTATTGCGTCTAAACGATTGGCTGGAAAAAGTTGAGTTTTATCTGAATTAAAGTTCACCAGCCACTGTGAGCCCCATGCTGTAGCAGAAGTGAGATCCTTTTCAGGCTCAGATGCCTCCTGCAAGCAATCAGAAGGAGTTGGCTTCTTATCGTGACAAGAATAAATCATCTGCGTATCATCTGCGAACAATGCCACCTTTGATGTGAGAATATCTGGAAGATCGTTAATGTAAATTAAAAAGAGTATAGGGCCAAGGATTGAACCTTGAGGAACCCTTGAGGTTACAGAGTAAGAAGAAGAGTGCTGTCCATCGAGGACAACTTTTATACTACGATTGGAAAGGATGGATTCAATAATCTTAAAGATGTTTCCAGATACACCGTAAGAAGAAAGCTTATGGAGAAGAGCATGACATACTTTATCAAATGCTTTGGAAATGTCAAGAGCGATGGCCTTAACCTTTCCAGCAGACTGGAAAACAAGACTCTGATAAGCACTTGTTAAATAGTTTTGAAAGGATAGACGACAACTCTGGAGAAAACTTCTGCAAGACTATAACAGGTATGTTGTCTGGGCCGCAAGCTGTAGAAGAGTCTAAGCAGGAAATCACTTGAGATACAGAAGCTGGAGTGATACGGATGTCTAGCAATAGATCAACCTGTTTGACAGCTATATCAGGTAGAACGCAACTAGTGGAATCAAGAGATGATATTGATGAAAAGTTCTTGGCAAACAATTCAGCTTTGTCTTTAGGTGAGGTGACAAAGTCTGAACCATACAAAAGAGGTGGAATTACAGACTTGCCCTTATTATTGATACTATTAAAGATTCTCCAGAAGTCACGAGAGCCTAATTTTTGTGATGAAATACGAGATTTCATGGTCTGAGAATAGCGGGCTTTGGCGTTATACAAAACCTTTTTACATTATGAAGAAAATCACGGAAAGAGTCCCAGTCAGCTTTAAGGTAGTTGTAAGATGTACGATGATAGGGGGATTCTGATGGTAAAGATAAATGAGATAATAGTTTTAGAGAGACCAAACCATGATCAGAAGCACCTAAGGGTGAGTGTGGAGAAACTGAGCACTGACTAGGATCAGAAACAAGACATAAGTCGAGTAGAAAAGGTAAATGATTCGGGTGTTCTTTTTATTGTTAACATTAAAAAAAATATGGTATTCAATTGAAGCACATACCAGCCATGTACAATGATCCAACACTTGAAAACATTCGCTCCCCCCAACCTCTTCTTTTCTTAGAATCTTCGGCAAATACATATTCTGCTCCATTATCCTAAACATATTGTTGTTGTTTATATATATATATATATATATACATACATACATACATACATACATATATATATATATATATATATATATATATATATATATATATATATATATAATATATATATATATATATGTATATATATAAACAACCCTCGGAATTAGGAAAAATGAGGTCGGCAATAATTTGCCGACCTCAATCTTTTAGAGGTCGGCAAAAAAAAATTGACCCTAAAGTCTTATCATAAAACATAAAAACGACCTTTAACACTTTTAGGTTAGCAGTTAGGTCGGCAAATGTTTAGTCAACATTTCTATTCATTTATGAGTTTCTGTATATTTTATAAATATAAAAATATATTTATCATTATTTTAATTTTATTTCATAAATAATAACTTTAATAATTATGAAATGCTATCCCTATTCATTGAATAAATTAAGTTAATGTTAAATAATTTTTAAGGTGTTTATATTGATAATAATTCATGTGGAAAAATCACATTGAAAATTCATGTAAAAAAGCACCAAAAATATAATAGTTTATATAAAGCAAGATACATTTTGAATTAGAAAACATAAAAGTATATCTGTTTTATTCAAAGTCATATTAAATTTGAAACCAAAAAGGAAACTTAAAAGTTATATCAGTGACATTAGTCACAAATAATAAATTTTAGTAAAGGTTTTTTTAACATTTAGTTATCCATGTAAAGCCTCTATTACGAAATAAACACAAATAAATGTTAATCACGTATATAAATTTATGAGTATTGGCTTTTATAAAATATACTTCATGTAAAAACATCATGTAAGGTAATAATAATGATACTAAATCATACTATCCTCAAATCATCACTATATAAAAGACAAAAACATGGAGGAAATTTAACACATTTGGGCGAAAAAATCATTTGTGCAAACTAGTTATTGATACATTTGAGAAACTTTTCAGAAAAAATTTTATTAAGATAAAAAAACTTGTAAAATAAAGATATATCACTATAGAAGAGTTTCATAAACAAACATGGCTAGATAAAAGAGAAATATGGAAAATAAGGAACAACTGTTGGAATAAAAAAAAGTATTAATTTAAAATAAAGATGCTGATATATTTAAAGTTATGCTCAAACAGAAGAAATTAACAGTAAAGACATGAAAACAAAATATTAACTACTGTATTCATTTAATGATGATGGGTTAAAATAACAGCAAAAGAGGTTTAATGATTTGTAACAAGTGGTAATTGAATTATTGACGAAGCTATTGAATTAATCACTTAACTTCACTTTTTAATTTTGCACTGTTAGATATTGAAATAAAAACTCTGTTGCTAAAGTTATTTCGTACTCTACTATAGCTAATAGTTGGAACGACCTGTTACCATCTTACAAAAGAGTTTACTAGAACTCTTTACATCAATTTCTAAACATTTTAACTGAGTCTTGTTTTACTGCCTAAAGAAAAACCTGCTTCATCTGTGGTTCCAATTTTTAAAAACTCTGACCACTTTAACTATTTTTCAATCCCACTTTTAACTATTTACCTAACCTACCTTTGATATCTTGAGTTTAAAAACTTACTCTCTGTCAATCAATACAGATTTCAATCCTCTAATTCTGAAAAAAATCATCCTGAGGCTTGAAAGGACTTTTCATTAGACAGTAAAGCAAAATCAATATTTATGTGTAAACATTGTACAGCCTAACTATAACTCAATTCATCAACTTCTAGTATCATTTAAAGCACACACATATAAACATATGTTAGCTATTTATTTATATGATAACATAAAAAATCCCTACATATTTAAGCAGGAAAGAGTTGCCGAAGTTGTAATAACACCTACAGAATAAGTATTTTTAAACTGAAAATGGTTTAGCTATGAAATATTTATGATTTGATTAATTTAAACAAACAGCCCTAATATACTTTTAATCACAATTCAACTTGCATTGATTGCATTTTTATGGTAAATAATTTCATTTTGTCAAGGCACAATTTTGTTCAAATCAAGGCAACCAGATTCCTAAATTAAAGTACTTTCCTCAAATTCACTAAACATAATATTCTTTTTGTGACTTATAAATGTAACTATTTATTTTTAATTTTATTAATATTTTAACCTAAATAATTTCTTTAACCCATTAATTTTATCACTGATTAAGCTAGGAAAACTATATAGTTTAGATCAAGGAGACTTTGGACTATTTTGTTGAATCACTGCAATATCATACTTGCAGCAATATATAAGATAAGTTAATGTTATAACTAGCATTTTAAATCCCATCAAATTAAATGCAAAAAACCATAAAACCCAAAGAAGTATAGTTTATCTGATGCAATAAATATAGGAAGCCTTCACAGGTGCCACATGTGGTTTTCTGTCTTGTTTATTCACAAAAATGTTTTTTATTTAGACAACTTAGTCATGGCCACTTTCAAGTTTTATTACATTCAACTTGTTTCTCTGCACAGCAGCCTTGTTTGTCAAGGTTTGTATTTTGGAGTTATAGAGTTGAGAGAGGATTATAACCACAATTAAGTAGCCTCCTTATCTCCACAATTAAGTTGCCTTTTCACCTACCTAAGGCGTTCTTGGCCTTGGGAGTAGAACTAACCGCACTGAGCCAAATGTTAAAGCAGCAACAGAAATTCAATATTACAAAGCTCTAAAATATTGGGTATAAAACATACAGGAATAGAAAGGTAATATGGAAAATGTGTAGATGGTATGGCAATTGAAGCCTAAAAACTATATATATATATATATATATATATATATATATATATATATATATATATATATATATACACATATCTATTAGTCAGAAAACATCAATTAATACAAATTCTCTTAATACAAATAATAATTTATTATAATAAATTTTCGCTGGATTATGGTTACCAGCATCATCAGCTCGTAAAAATTATACAATAAAATTTTTTTGTAATGTTAGAAACAGTTTAAAATTAACTGACGCCAGCAGTTGAATGGCTTCTTTCTTGCTTATGTAAAAATGTTAAAAACGGAGTCCAAAATTTAGTTTTCACAAACTGCCTGCTATCTAAATTAATTCCACCATGTGTAGGTGAACATTGGAACCTCTGTATTTCTAGAGCTTCGCGCACTTTTCGATCAAATTTTTTTGTTTCAACTTTAATTGTTTTTACATTTTCCCACTTTATTTCTTGTGAGCAAAACTTATTATGGGTGGCTATTGCAGATTGATACTGTTTCCCCTCGTTTAAACTTTTTAGATGTTGTTGAGTCCGAGTCCTAATTTGAAGTTTAGTTTCACCAACGTATCTCTTTGAGCATTTGCATTCAATCAAATAAGTTCCGGGTTGACTATTTTGTGGTAATTTAGTTTTGTTTTTTGACATCAGTAATGTTTTTAAATCTGGATTTGATTTGAAGACTACTCTATAGCCAGCTTTCCGAAATATTTTCCTTAGTTTTGGGGATAGCGATGGTATCCACAGCAACCATACAGTAGGAATGTTAAGAGAGACTGATTGAATTTTATTGACTTTTAGAGACCGTTTATTTCCAATTAATTTTGCAATCAGTATAAGTTGGTATATGTTGTACCCATTTTCGTTAAACATTTGAATAAGGAAATTAATCTCATCTTGTAAATATAAATTACTGCATAAAGAATAAGCCCTGTGAACGTAACCTTTAAATATTGCGTTTAAAACCTTAGGGTCATGATTTGAGTGATGTTTAATTTGGATAATAGCTATGGCTTCTTTTCTGCAAACTTTAAACTCATATTTTCCTTTGTTCCTGTTTATTATGGTTAAATCGAGGAAGTTTAGAGTTCTATTTTCGCTTTCAGTTTCAATCGTATATTGTATTGCAGGGTATTGTTTGTTTAAGATAGTTAGAAATTGTTCTGCTTCTTGAGTGTTGGAAAATCTAGCGTGACTATCGTCGACATATCTTAGATAGGATTGTAGGTCAAGAGGAGGATTTACTGCCATTGAAATTTTGAAAGCGTTTTGTTCATGATGTTGTAAAAATGATTCTGCAAGTACGACCATGAATGAAAGACCTATAAGACCAGAATTCTCAAGTTCATGGATTTCGTTGTTCCAAAGGAAATAACAACAGTGTAAACAAAGCTCTATGAGTTGTTCTGTTTCAGATATAGTAAGTTTGGTAGAACATTTGTAGGAATCATCTTTATTTAATTGGTCTGTGAGAACTAAAGTGGCTTCCTTTAGTGGTATTGATGGATACAAGTTTATTACAACAAATGAAACTTGAACCTTGTTTTTGTCAATCTCCCATGAATTCGCTTTACTAATAAAACCAAAAGAATTTTTCAGACGTGTTTGGTTTTTGTTTAAGACAAGTTGTATTTTCTTTACTAAATACTTCAATATTCCATAATTAGGAGTGCCGATAGTTGATACAACTATTCTCATAGGATAGGATTTTTCAGGTTTGTGAGCTTTAATTAGAACATACATACGAGGTGGAATAGGATCACTTGGATATATACTGGGCAAATAATAAAATTTAGTAAAAAATATTTTTGAACCACAATATGATAGTTGAATGGGAAAAACTTCAATTAGCTATGTTCTGAAAACAAATTAGCATACTGAACAGCCCTTATATATATATATATATATATATATATATATATATATATATATATATATATATATATATATATATATATATATATATATATATATATATATATATATATATATATATATATATATATATATATATATATATATATATATATATATATATATATATATATATATATATATATGGCTGTGCTTTATTTAGAAAATACACTGAAATGCTTAAATGATATAAGAAATCAATGCAAACAAGAAAAAATAAATGGTTACAAAGCAAGTATATGAGCAGTGGGATTTGAAAGAAAAGCGATGAAAAATTGGATACAGATGGCGATTTAAACAACGGCCATCCAGTGTTTGAAGTAAACTCTTTATCCAAATAAGCTAAACATGCA